ACAGCTCACAACTCCCTCCTGAACTCTCCCTGCTCCCTCCTGAACTCTCACAGCTCACAGCTCTCTCCTGAACTCTCCAGGCTTCCTCCTGAACTCTCCCAGGCTGCAGAGTGTGTGTGTGTCTGAGACTGTCACTGTGTGTGTGAGAGTGACTGTCACTATGTGTGTGTGTGACTCTGTGTGCAAGTCTGAGTGTGTGTGTGAGTCTGTGTGACTCTGCTTCCCCGTCTTTGAGTGCCATTTTTGCCGCGGTCTTCTCTCTCGCTCTCTCTGTTTCTCTCTCTCTATCTCTATCTCTCTCTCTCGTTCTCTCTCTCTCTCTTTCTCTCTCTCTATCTCTATCGCTCTCTCTCTTTCTCTCTCTCTATCTCTATCTCTCTCTCTTGTTCTCTCTCTCTCTATCTCTCTCTCTCGCTCTCTCTCTTTCTCTCTCTCTATCTCTCTCTCTCGCTCTCTCTCTATCTCTCTCTTTCTCGCTCTTTCTCTCTCTCTCGCTCTCTCTCTATCTCTATCTCTCTCTCTCGTTCTCTCTCTCTATCTCTCTCTCTTTCTCGCTCTCTCTCTCTCTCTCTCTCGCTCGCTCTCTCTCCCCCTCTACGAGACCGCGTGCTGCCGTGTCGATCAGACTCACTGTTGGGAGGGTGGACCAGGCTGTTTCTCATGTTGCTCTTGACAAACTGCCGCTTCGCCGTTTCGGCCGTCGGCTCTTTCCTCCTGCTGCCCTTGGGCTCCTCGTCCCTCCAGCCGTGTCTCTCCATCTCATCCGAGAAATAACAGGCGCTCGTCACCGCCACCATGTCCTCGATCTTCTCCAGCAGCTCTGTGACCTGAGTGCGGTCGCCCCTGTACCTGTTGTTGAGAACATGATACCTGTTCCCACACTTCTCCACCAGACGCTGAAGCTCCTCTCCTGCTCCCTCGATGTGCTGCTCGATGGTCGTGTCTCTCAGAGCGTGCGCCTGGGTGAAGAGCACCATCGTGTGTCTCCAGACCCTCTCACTGAGGAGCTCCAGGTGCTCTTCCACGGATCTCCTGTGGTTCTCCGTGAACGGCGAGTCTACAGGGATCACCAGGAGGAAGGCGTGGGGGCCGGGGGGACACAGGGACACGCTGCAGCGTATGTCCTGTTTAAGGTGCTCTGGGGTGGCCTGCGCGGGAGCCCACCACTTCCACCTCCAGCCCGGGGTGTAGACCACTGTCACCTGCCTCCCGGCCACCTCCCCCTGCCTCCTCACGCAGTATGTTTTCCTGCCCGTCTTGAACTCCTCTCTGCCCAGGATGGTGTTTCCCGATGAGCATTTCCCGACCTGCCTTCCTCCCAGCAGGATGATCCTGATCTCTGAGAGATGCTGTGGTGCCTCATGGGAATCGGCCTGTCCCTCCTGTGTTCCTGTAGCTGGGACGCCCTCCCCTGTCAGAGAAGAGCACAGTTAGAGCTGGGACACTCCTGACCTCTCATCTGCACAGATCAATTCCACTCAATCAGAAAGTACCGCCCAGTCCCTCACCTCCACAAGGGGGCAGTATTTCCTTATAGAGACTTGAGTCCTTTCACATCCTTGACCCAATCAATTCAATCAAAACACAAAACTATCATTCTGAAACTTCGACGATGAAAAACAGTTTGCAGTGAATGGTAATGTCAATAAAATTGTAACGTGTCTAAAATATCCATATACCACCGCCAGCTTCATTTTCTTAATAATAATAATTCCTCACACTTCTATAGCTCTTTCCTGGACACTCCACTCTAAGCTCTTTACAGGTCCTGGGGATCCCACTACCGCCACCAGTGTGCAGCTCTTTACTGGTCATGGGGATCCCACTACCGCCACCAGTGTGCAGCTCTTTACAGGTCCTGGGGATCCCACTACCGCCACCAGTGTGCAGCTCTTTACAGGTCCTGGGGATCCCACT